TGTGTGTGTGTGTGTGTGTGTGATGTTGTAAATGTCAGTGGGCAAAGTAGCTAATCCAAACACCCAAGGGGGAGAGAGAGAGAGACCCCTCACCGTTCCAGTCTCACACCCATGATGAAAACATCCTCTCAGCTGTTAGATATTTCACTGCATCCTCCACGTCCGTCATGAGCTCCCTATTCCCCAGTGTCATCCCCCTGCAACGATATGGGCCATTGCCTCACTCCCTCTCCGCTTCCCCTCTCTCTCTCTTAACCACACTCCTCCCTTTCACCCCTCGCTCCAACCTGAGAGACACACAACCTCGCCAGAGCGGCAGACAGTCTAGAAGTAAGCAAATAAGGCATACATGCTGTCTTCAGATGACATTCACAGTCTAAATGTTAACCCACCTGCTGCCTCACAATGTCTCCTCCTTTCCCACTCTTTCACTCCTACTCCTTTCTTTCTCCTGTAGATGCTCTTCCCAGATACACTTTCTTTCTTTTAGTTTTTTTTCCCATTTAAACACCTCTTTCATTAGATGTTGAGATTTTTTATCAGACTCCGCAGTAGGGAACACTGCCTTAATCCTCTTACACCCCTCTTTCCACTATTTATTTATTCCCCCTTTATCACAGCTGCATGGTCCCTTTTTAATTCTCACTTTAATTCCCACTTCCCAGCCAGTGTGGACCCCCTCCTCGTCTTTGACATTTCGCCTTTTTTTTGCTTTTAAAACATTTTAAATGTCATAAGTGGGCTCATGAAGGGCATCCTTAATGATGTTCCCTCCAGACCCCTGGATCTCAATACGGGGGTAATTCTTTTGCGGCCACTCTGCTTATTAAAAGACAGGCATCAGGGTTTGTTGCACTTTGATTAAACATAGCCAGACGGTTACTTATGAAAGATACTCTTTATTTAGCACAGCTGAGATTAGTGGCCTTTCTACTAATGCTGTTGCCTGCTGCTCCATCATCATTGTCTCTTACCTAACTTTTACTAATACTTCAGTCGTCTTCTTTGCTGCATGTATATCCTCCCCCCTTTTGTCGGTTTGTCGTTTAAGTGTCAAATACCATGGTGATGTCCTTGGAGGTGTATGAAAGTCGTGTGTTGTTGATTTTGAGTGTGTGTGGTATGTTTGTTTTTGAACGTGTGAGTGAATTTTCTGTTGGATCCAAGCTGCATACTCTGTTATGTCTGCATACATGCTGGCCTCGAGCATAAGACCGCTCATGCCTGCTGTTCACTTCAGTCCACAACAATGGCTAGTGCATCCTGGGAAAGAAAATCTGCACAGCCCAGTGAGTTGCTGTTAATAAAGCTTCAGTTTAACCTGCTGTGTAACATCTTTACAAGTGCACATTAAGCATTAACCCATATTAACCCTGGCTCTTCTGCAGCTCTGGAACTGTTCACTACCCTTCACTCTCAAACCGCATTACCATATTCACCTGTACTTTTGGCAGATAAAAGAAATTCATGAATTTGTTGAATGTGTTTTTCAACTGCTTTTTGGCTTCAAGTACGTTAAGCTGCAAGGTTAATACATGTGCCACCTACAAAATCTCCCCCATCAGAGGGACAGTAAAGATTTTAATGGTGATTACCTCCACTACTGATGAGATGAAACACTTAAATATCCACCTACCTCCCACCTACTTATAACTTGAATTAGATGTTTAGAAGTGACAGGTTCAGAGTAGCGCAGCATGGTGGTGCGCTGTTGCCACAGCAAGAAGGTTCCCAGGTTTGGTCCTCTGTGTGGTTTGCATGTTCCCCCTGTGTCTGCATGGGTTGTCTGTGGGTACATTGGTGTGAATGTGAGTGTGAATAGTTGTTTGTCTCTGTATGTTGGCCCTGTGATATGCTGGCAACCAGACATCTCAGCTAATGTTTGCTGATGATTGGCCCCAGATCCCCCCACAGCTTTCAAAAGTATATGGGGATAGATAATGGAGGATGGAGTTTCAGTGTATCCTCCAAACTAAATCATCTCTTTTCTTTCTCCGACTCCTTACAGAGGGATTTCTCCCGTCGTGAGGAGCTCCAGCAGTCGGATGTCGAAGGTTGGTTGGGTTTCATCACCTTCTTGTGCGAGGTGTTTGGCACCATGAGGAGCAGCTCCGGAGAGCCATTCAGGGTGCTGGTGTGTCCCATCTTCACCTGCCTACGAGAGGTTTGTACCTTTTTTTGATCAATAAGCACAGTCAATAACCAGCTGATCAACCCGACCCCGCGTGTCCACTAGTAAGAGGAAAGCGTCCAGCTGTGTCTGTGTATCTTGTCTGCTCGGATCAATGTGTGCTGTGAGCCAGTTTCCTGTTGTTTTGGCCAGACCTAGTCTAGAGTCTAGACACCACAGTGGGGTTTGGTTAGTGGCGCTTACAGTCAGGACGCTATTATTTCCAGGAAAGTACATGACCCCGCGTTCAGTTCCCATCAGCTGGTCATGCTCTCACATGCGCCATGGAAACCATACTGGGCAGCCTCTGCAGACACGAAGTGGTTTACAGATGGATTATTGAAAGGGGAAGCAATGGGGGTTTCAGTGGAGTGGGGGAGGGGGGTAGAGGAAGTGGAGGAGACTGTGGTCAGGTTGACAGTTGCACAGGAAGTTTACTCATAGTTTGACAGGTAGAAGACAAGAATAAAAAGAGAGAGGGAGGTGGCAGAGTCTGGGAGTGAAAATCATTTTTAATGTGCAGGTTTGAAAAGAAATAATGGCAGGGTTGAGGCACGTGCCAAGGCACTGCCCACGTCCACACCTTCGCCAGTCTGGCACTCAGCACACACCCCGCGTGTCGCTAACAAACACAGTCACACACACAACTAATACCATCCACACCCTGTCTGAATGTATGCACAGGGCACTATCTCAGCTTGTTAGAAGGCTCAGCGACAGTGTGGAGTAACCAGTCACAAATACACACAAACACACATCCATATTCCAGCATCAGCGCCGGTGTCATGTTTAGACTGATGATGCTACAGATAAGAACACACCTGTCAACAATTTCAAAATGTATGAGGGAGATATAGTGAATGTGTGAGTGTTTGTGGGCCCATATGCTTGTTTGGCAATCTCCATATCCTAGAGCTATAGTTCCTGATTTTTGTCCATCTGCTGTTTTGGCTATTCTGCTACAAGCTATGTGCCATGATGTAAGTGTGTGTGTTTGTGCATATGCAAGCATATGTGCCAGCTTGTGTGGGTATGGCAGTGTAAGTATGTATGTGTGTTAGGAAATAGGCTTGTGTGTACATGTCTTGATAGTTATCAGGCAATGAGCTCACCCATTCATGACAGACAGGCTGTTAAATTCAGAGTTAAAGCCACAATCCACTTGTGAATGCTGTAAATTAGATAATCCTTGATTATGTCCACATTGAGTGGCAATATAATATTACAGTCTTCGTGGGGTATTGGAAAATAGAAACATACAATAAACACCTTAGTGTTTGTCCAGCATCACTGTCTGTGGTTAAATAAGTGACAAGACGTTTTGTTAACAATTACATTTGTCACATAAATAACTTTGTGAAAACAAATCTAGAGATTGTGGTTTCTGGGAATGGAACATGAATATGAAAAATCTAGAACATGAATATTGTCATTTGAATGTACTGTAATATAAATCTGAAATCTAAATTCTACAGTCTTTTGATCTGTTATTAATACCAAACAGTTTGATTAGAGAATCTAACAAAAAAAAATTCTGCTTTTTTTTTGTTGAGGGTAGTGTAAGTAAGAAAACCCAGATTGTGGTACAAAACATTAGCTGTGCTGAACAACATTATATTTGACCTTAAAAATAGATATTATCTTACCTGGAAAGAGACAAAAAGAACTAACAAATTTGTTAAGGACAAAATCAGGGGTAGGTTCCAGAGCAGTTATTAACATTCTATAACATAAACTTATTTTGTTCTATTGAAGCAAATGACCTGCATGTTGCAAACAGAGGACTTGGTTTGCAGTTGCACACTGCAGAAAGTCTGCCCTCACCCTGTGTGGTGGTGACATCAGCCTCTCTGCAGCAAGGGTCCTCACAGTCCAAGACCCTCAACACAGAATATTTATGTACATCACATGTATGTCAGCACCTTGATTTTCTGAGCATCGGGCAGCTGCAAGTGTTATATTCTACTTTCTGTTTGTGGAGCAGTTATTTACGTACTGAACTGATGCAACAAACACAGAGTAATCTTATGTAATGTTACTAAAGGAAGCGCCTGTCCTGGTGCTAGACCTGCTGTTGCTATGCAACTATATGAAACCTGGTTAAAGTTGAAGTAGTCATAATCTTGATGAAACATTTTTTTTTCTGCTCAGCGCTCAAAAACCTTCTTTCTTTTCAAGTGTGATGACAGGTTTCAACATATACAAACATGGATGTGTTTGAGTAATGAAGTAGAGCTGAAAGACAGACAGAGTCTCAGCAGAAAATTTACATGAATGAGGATGTTTTTCTAATTGACTTCACTCAGTCACTCGAGCTGTTGTTGTCACGCCAGCTGCGTTTCTTCCAATCGGAGATACCACAGGATCACAGCTGCCCTAGTTTCTGCTGCTTTTTATCTTCCTGATCAAATGTCTGTTTGAATGAAAAACACTGGAAATGCAAATGACACAGAATCCCAAGGTTTCCCAGCGCAGCGAGCTTTGTTTCTCGATGATGTAACTAACCAACGATGTGGCTGTTACTGTTTTCAGCTTCAGCCGAGAGAATGTGTGATAAGCACTCTTACAAAATGAAAGTTACACGGAGTGATGGGGTGTATGTAGTGATGGTGGAGGCGCGCTATCGTATTGAAAACAGTCAGAGCGAAAGAGAAAAAAAAGAAAAAAAAGATGTTGCAAGAGATGGAGAACTGATGATGATAAGTATAGATTAGACCATTTTTAATGCATCGAGCAAAACTTCACCCTCTGCTCCCCAGAGAACTCATTATGAGCTAATGCTGCTTGTCACACAGCTCTCCTTCTCTGGGAACGACAAGACTTTTGTTCCCACATCAAACAGCCATGCTGTCACCACACCCGTCTAAGCATACTGAGGAGCTGACGTCTGCGCAACTGCTGGACCTGAATGATGGGTGGAATACCATTAAGCTTACACTGTGGAAATAAAGAGTCCAGCTTGTGCTGAGTGGAGATCCTAGTGTCAGACGGTGGTTGTTTCCACCTCTGTTTGTACGCAATTGCTAAGGGGAGCTGCTGGTTCAGTGAAATCCTCGGGGTTGGGGTTGTTAATTGTACACCGCCACTGGGATCGCGATTTTCGCCAAAAGCTCTCGGAACTTGTTGTCTTTCCAAATTGACATCTCCATCGATGACTTCTATGTGTATCGCTCTTCGTTTTTTTTCTGTGACCTGGAAAATGTCTGCAGCAGCAACTGACAGACATTTGCATTCTCACATACAGCTCCTACAGAAAATGTTCAGTTCAATTCATGTCTGAAAGCAGCTTATGTTTATCATCACTACGATTGAAAATATAAACCATAGAAGATTCAAGGCATTCTACAATCTCAGCTCCTGAACTGTTTTCCTGTCTATCTGCTGCATGATCTCACTCTCTAGTTTTATAACTACGTGTCTGCACCCTGCATTTCAAACTTATTTTGCTCATTGTGCAGCAGGGCTACACTTCCGACACTTAATTAGACATTACCCCTGCAAAACAACCTCCCCCTTCCTCCACTCCTACTTCCTCTCCTCCTTCAGGTTAATCAAAGTAGCACTTTGGAGACAGACTTGTGAGAAGTAAACCAGCCTCAGAGCTGTAAAAGGGGTTTTTAATCTCTAATCTGACAGTAAATGTCTATAGTTTAACATGGCAGCCTCTGTCTCATTGTCTGAAAGTGGCAGTTGTGTGTCCATCTGTGCATCAGGGGGAAAGCCAGCTAACGTGTTTACCAGCTCCACGTTTGCTTTTTGTTTACACTGTGTGTGTCTACATGTGTGCGTGCAGTTGTGGTTGTGTGAATATTTTGGGCGTCTTGGTGTGTGAGAATCAGATGGATTAGCAGGATGAGAGCGGGGTATGTTGTCTTCTAATAGTTAAAATGTCAGTGTTGAAAATGTTTACAGTCGGGATTAGGTGTTTTTCTTGTGAACTGTTTAACACACACAAACATTTGCGTTCGCTAAATCTCCCCATGTGGCTTGTATCCAAATGTACACACATTTCTGTGTCATCTGTTACTCTTGTTAGATTTTACTCACTATGTGGGAAACCCTCTTGTTGCAACATTTGGATTTCAATTTTTTTTTTTTTTTTTTAGCTCTTTGCTTTTCAGTACATGTACATGTTATCTGTTCTTTTCTCTTTTAGCTGTTGGAGTCCACAGACATTAAGGAAGATGCAGTTCTCTGCTGCTCCATGGAGGTATGTATCACACACACACACACACACACACTGGGTTTCTGCAGGTTACAAGTTAAATTTAAGACTTGTTAAGATCATAATAAATGATTGTCAAGACCTATGTCAACTACAACCGATATGAAGGAATATCGGCATCTCAGAATTACTCACAATTCCTCATGGTTATAGTAGAGAATCACCCTCGAAATGCAAAGTGATCTCACAAACTACAGGCAGAACATTATGTATCCATAATCTTTCCCAAAGCCATGTTGAGTGCAATGAGATAAATTCTGACCTGAAATATTTTGTAGCACTGGTCTTGTTTAATGCTGCACTGTTTATCTAATTGCTACGGAAGCCCTAAAGGGTCATACATACATACATTTTATTCCACCCGTTTCCCGTGATAACGAGATAATTTTCCTCCGTTTTCCCGTGAAAACGAGATAATTAATTCGAGATCTCGAGAAAAAAAAAACGTATTAAATCATTGCAGGAAACATCATTTAGTGTAGCAATGTCAGAGGAGCAGGAGAATACCGATCACCGCATCACATATCTCTTCAGTCAAGGCCTGACACAGGCTGAAATAGCTTTATGCCTTGCTATAGATAATGTACACATTAGTGTAGAAGACTACGGAAGCCGAGAACGACCATCGATTTTTTTTTTTATTATCTCGTTATCTCGATATAACAAAGATCGTTTTCTCGTGATAACGAGATCATTTTCTCGTTATCACGAGAAAACGGAGGAAAATGATCTCGTTATCACGGGAAACGGGTGGAATAAAATGTATGTATGTATGACCCTTTAGGGCTTCCGTAATCTTTGCATTTTCTTTGATAAGCAACCAATCACACTTATCCACAATATTGTTCACAATAATCACAATATGACTATTTCATCAAATCTTGTAGCCCTAGTCTTGTTTGTAGTTTGATTGCATCGTGCTAATATTTCTGTCATTGAGAAAGAACTACACACAGGGACATTACATATCCTTTAAAAAAAACAAAATCCGGTTTAAGTGCGACTGAAGAAGCATTAAATACATTTTCAAATAATACGATATAAGACTTACCAAAACCTAGTACATAATTTAACACCTCACAGAAACCCTAAAAACAAGCCTTATCCCTCAAACAGCTCTTTGACGGTTTGTCCAACGTGAAGACTGACTTTTTTGTCCTCACTCTAAAGGTCGGAAACTCCAATCATTCCTCCAAAAAATAGAAGTTAATAAATAAAGAAGCAAGAGGCTGAATTCTCATAAATAATGTACGTAGTTTACAAAGACTAACAACATACCACTTGAAACCCAAGAACGTTGTATTTTATTTGATTGCATAGTTGTAATTTCCATAATAATGGAAATAACTGTGTTTACTCCACCCCTGTTCTTCAGCCTCTGTACTTCAGCACATTCAATTTGAAATAAAATAATGAACTCTACATTATAATGACAAGTCTCTACTTTAACTTGAGTAGGTTTACATGAGTATTAAAGCAAACAAAGGGTGAGATTCAGTGCTTTGGACTGTGTTTTTGATTATTCAGAAGCAGAATGTGTTGTGACTATCTCTCCTCACTTCATGAATAATAAAGTTAGGCAGGTGAATTTATGTAGAATTATGGTTCAAATCGAACTTGGTTCTTTGTACGAGAGCAGATCACATTGGAAACTGGAATGGCACTGAATAGAGCGCATACTTCGGCCCAAGGCCCAACAGTCCCCTTAAATTCAATCAAGCTGCAGACAATTGCACACACTCAGATTTCCGTCTTCCAAATATCTCAGATTTTTTTCATCAAGATCCATGAATTTTTCATTGTGAAGTCAGTGAAAATGTAAAATAAAAAAAGCTCTATCAGGCTAAGTTAAGCCCGTTTTTTATTAAAAAAACACTAACATCTGGCTTTTTGAATGGAGACAATCATCATTCACTCGTGGGTCAAATTACTCTACAGTAGAAGCAGATTTTGAATCGACTCTGATTGGCAGTGATGCACATGACAACGGGTGAATGTGCCAATTTCTTCTTCCTCATCTTTATTTTTGCAGTCTATTATGATGTACATTGAACTTATGGATGTTGGCTGCTTAACTAGCCATGAACATTTGTGTACTTGTTTTACTTGTGACCATGTGCAACATTTTTTTCCCTTTGTATCATGCACTGGCAAATACAGTCAGGTGAGAGAATAGGAACGTTGAACATGACTCACCCGGGGGGCAAAAACCCAGAAAGGCCACCTCCTCTATTGGCAATGGGAAAGGAGTCAATCCCATTTTAGCGGGTTTACCCACATTTAAAAAAATTCTGGTGTAAAAGAGGTATTAGAGAAAGTGATTTTTTTAAAATCAAACAGACAAAACTAAATATCCTTGCTAACCAAAGCTCACCTGTCAACCTATTTCCCAGATGCTCAAACACTTTGAAAACCTTGATTATTTACCAACAGACCCTCACTCGCGGATACACAAACACGCAGCTCTATGGCCAGAGGGTCTGTGAACCTCTGCTGAATCCAGACGACTTACTCTCAGTGAGGAACCCACACTCTTTCTCTGACCCTCTACCTCTGTCCCTTCTCTGTCCGCCAGTTGCAGAGCACCGGACGTTTACTGGAGGAGCAGCTCCCTGAGATGATGACCGAGCTCTTAGCGGCCGTCAGGGACAAGATGCTTAGTCCGGCTGAGTCTCAGCTGACCCGCTCCCTCCTGATGGAGGTCATCGAGCTGCACGCGCACCGCTGGAGCCCCCTGGAGGCCCTCACCACCCAATACTACAACCGCACCATCCAAAAGCTCACCACCACTGCCTAGGTGACAGCTGCCGCGGGAGGAGAGGAGACGAGACATTTTCCACTTGTGCAACATCGGCTCTTCTAGTTTTACAGCAAAACAGGAAGTTTGCCACAATCTTGCCGACATAATGCTTGACATGGTTATTGAACGCAAATCTACAATTCGATCATTTCAGAAAGGTGAACACTGCCACAAACATTCCAGCCGCCAGGCAGGTAGAGCTCAGCCATCCAGGCAACACCGCATGTGGTGTTCAATCAATGACAAGTCTGACGCAGATTTGAGAAAACGCTAGTGAGTTGGCCAGTAGGGGCACGCTTGGCCACACGGCGTGGAGAGCTCGTCTGGTTGTGGCTGCTTAGGGTTAAAGGAGAGAACAGACAAGAGAGGGGTCACAGGGGGGATGAGGAGAGGGCAGCAGCCTGTCTGTAGGGAATAGAGTGATCTGCACCCAAAGATGGAGGGAGGGAGGTGGTCTGCGTAGTCTGTGTCAGCCTCCTCATTGTGTTCATTTCCCCCGCCACCCTCTCCTTCCCTCTGTGTCTCTCTCCATCCCCCACCTCTGTCTCCCCGTCGGCCCCTGGGGTCTGTGTGGCTGATAAAAGAGAGCAGGAGGCAGGGAGTAGACACGGTGCTGTCTGTCTGGGCCGTCTGCCCCGCCGGGCCAGGGAACCAGGTCAAAGGATCTCGGTGTGGAGCCACCCCCAGCCCCCACAGCTCCTACTCGCCTTTGTCTCCCCAACTCCCCCCTTCCACTGCACCCCCCCTAGCAGGAAGCCTTTTTGTGGGGATGAGACAGCGGGCCTGCTGGGCTGGGCTGAGGATGAGGATCAGGCTGGGCAGAGTAGGGTGGCAGATGGCTGCTTGAGCCCTTGTGAGACGACACACTCCAAACGCGCCCCCACCTCCCTCTGGCTCCCCGAGCTCGGCCCAGTGTGACCAGCAGAGGCAGCAGAAGTGGGGGGTGCAGGGTCCAGCATTAGAAAAGAATTAAAGCAGACACTGCTGTCTGATAATTCTTTTGTTTTCGTCCTACAGGGGAATGTCTCTTCTCCTCCATTGAGCCGTGCATGTCCATGCTTTGTTATCCACGTCATTGATATTATTATTATATTATTTTTTTAATTCATTTGTTTTTATTGTTGTCGTTTCATTTGGAAGTCTTGTTTTTACGATATATTGTATGTATGAGATTTAGCGGTAGGCCTTATTGCACAGGTTTGATTTGTTTTGCACTGTTTGGAGGCGATTTGATTTTAAGGAAAATTCAAGTAAAAGTTTGAATTTGAGTCAGAGCTTGTGGTATTATATGAAAAAAATGGGTTGAGCGTATCAAGCGATTTTAGGATGTTTTAATGGACTAGTGGCCTTGTCAGTTATCCATTTTTATAGGAGCTCTCTTGTTCTGCGGCAGCACGGGAGGAAGCTGACGACTAAACATTTGGGACTAATTCACATTGTTCTGTTGCTCAAGACAAAGAATCCAATTTGAAGATGAAGAAAAGATGTTACATTTAAAAAAAACAAGCATGGCACACAGAGAAACAGAAGTGAAATGTTTCTTTTAATCAAGCCATTCTTTGCGGTGGATATTTTGCAAGTCTTTAAAATCGATTATTTTGATTTATTTACTTTTTGAGGAAAAAGCGACAACTATTAACCTGTGTATTTGAAGATGAAGAAAAAGCAGAAAATCTTGTTGTGTGACCACATTAGCTTCTCATACGTGACCCTTTTTCCAGCTAACGTGTGTAATATGATATTGACATGACAAGCCAATCACGTACCATTTGTAAATGGGTTCGATATATAATCTGCATACAGTATATTTACAAGTATTTAATTGACATTGACTTAGAGGGGAACAGTGCAACAGAGATGTTACACATAGGATGACATGGCTGATAGGAGTCAGCCTTCCATGCATTTCTACTTGGAACTATGGCTACATCCATATTACTGAGTTTTTGTTTGAAAACGCATTAACTGTACTACGGTTACGTCTGGAGTCCACATAACTCCAGAGAGACACTAAACTGAAGAGGTTTGGAAACGATGCTGGCCCCGGGGCTGCTTTAGTCTGGACAGGCAGAAACTGCGATGTTTGGAAACTATGACGTAGATGCTCACAACCGCTTGCTGATGGGGTCTTTTTGACCTTTGCTGATTCGTCAGGCTCCTGTCACATGAAACCTCTCGAGAGGAAAACAAGCGGCATTAGCGCACGCCTTGGCTGTCAGTGTAGAACACAACATTGATAATCAATTACAAGCCCTGCTGACTGTTTTCTTTGCTTATACATGTTGTGGTCTGCATTTTACAATGATGCAACTGTTTGCATCTGCAGGAGATGAGCTATTAATCGAGAAATTCCAGTTTACACCAATGTATGTGAGTGCTCATATGATATGTGTTTTCAATACGGAGTCAAAACGGATGGAGTTCGTTCTATTTTGAAAACGCCATTTCAAAAGAAAACGCTATTGTATGGATGTAGCCCTAATCATTACTTGGGAGTCACATATAAACATTACGTACATGCTCATACTTAGTTTCCCATTGAATCTCTGTGGGCAGTTGTAGAAGTTTTTTTATATTATTTTCTCTGTCTTGCATCAAGAATAAAGATCCTGTGTGGTAGAAACACAACCCAGATGATTTGTCAGGGTGATGACGGGTGATTTAAGCTCACACGTGTTTTTCTGAGGTTCAGGCTAATTATCTGTAAATGTGTGCGTCCACTTAAGAAGTGATTTGTTTTACTCGTCCTTTTGTTTTCTTTATTTTATTTTTTAGGTTTCTATTTAAATTATATTTAGCTCATTTATATAAATATATATAATTTTTGGTGGGTTTTCTGAAACATCTGAATCTGTTGTGATACCTAGCATTCTGCCAAGTGTGTAAGTGTGGTATTACCGTTTGTGAAAAGGAGGGAAAAAAATAGAAAAACCCATCGGCCAGTTTCCATTATGCAAAAAGTGGCTCGCCCATAGCAGATGGATGCAGGTGGGGATTGCCCCCTACCCCCCACCCTCATCTGTGGCGCTGGAACCTCCCCCCACCCCACGTGCCCTTAGACCCCTCTGCTCGGGTCACATGACTCTTGACGATTGAATGAGATGCACCTTCATTTGCATATTCTCATGAATATTGAAAAAAAATAAGGAAAACCAAGGCTCCAATCGATGCACAAACAAGTAGATGGGCAATTTATTGGGTCATCTTGTTTGTTTTGTTTTTCTAAGCAACTGAAAAATAAACTAACAGGAGAAAAAATAAGATGTGACGGAACAATCTGGTGTTTGTTGTCTGTTTTCTGTCTGTTCACTTATCAGCACAGTCAATGTGCTATGATGAAGATATTCTGACATCACAAAAGAAACACACACACAGTTTCCTCTGCTGTTAGTAGATAGATGTGTAACTAATCTTAGCACCACAGTAGGTCATTATACCACCATTTCATACATGTGCACAGTGGAGCACTTCATTTACATGTCTTTGCCTTTACATCGTCACACATTAAACAGACCACACTTCAGAACTTTAACAGCAGTGTGTGAGCGTACGTGTGTGTTGCAGTGTGTCCTTGGCCACTGATTTGCCTTTGGTTAGCTCTGACACATGCCTGAGGCTCCCCAACTACGGGCATCCCAACGGGGGCCCTCAGTGCTAGGGTTGCCTCCCCATTGTGGACCCCCGTCCCCAGAAAACTATAGGACGTCCTTCATCACTCGTCCGCATCAATCAACATAATCCCATGTGTCTGAATATACGAATGCATTTGACAAGAGTGAAACACTTTAAATTTGCCACTGACGCCATAAGGAGCTTTGTTTTCTTCCTCTCTGTTGTGTCCTTGACGGAGATGGATTTATGACAGTGGTTTGGTTTCATTTGGAAACACAACACGTGTAAGCTCCTCGTTTTAACACAATACAAACAGGCACAATGGGGAAGTTATTACGCAGCAATAGAGCAACTCAGACAGTGGCAAGAAAGAAAATGTATTCAGCTGCTGTAGTGGAGGAAGAAGAAAAGAGAGAAAGAGAGATAGGAAGAAATGGTTCTGACCAAGTGAAAGAAATGTAGGAGGAGATGAAGTGAGGAAATGTATATTATATGCACACATAGATACATATATAGAAGACTGTTGGGACTGTATGGGGGGAGCCTATTGAGGAATAAATGCAAATGGTGGAAGAAAGGCAGAGGCAGCCCTGGCTGTCAATTAGCATCATAGTTAATTTATCCTATGCAGTGAAAACAGACATGTGAGCCCTTAGGGGATTATACATATAGAGAGATATATAGATACACACATAGAAGCTGCATCTAAAGATGGTGTTTGTCTGCAAACAGTGACAAGAGGAAAAAGTAAAGACAAATAATATCCCCATTGGAAACTGAGTTAGTGAAAGAACTAAATGGTTATATGGTTTAATAAAGGCAGTTTCTATTGTGAGCTGTCATTAACATCTCTGTAAAGGTTGATCATAGAGAAGAGTGTACTATTATGGTGTTATTAATCACAAATTCCTGTGTTACAGCAGTATGGTACCAGGGGCATTACACTAAGCAAGATGTGAAAATATTAGTCAACGCCTGGTTCGCTGCTTACTGGTTATATATAGATATCTATATATCTTTATATATCTACACAGATATATGTATGATGAGTATGAAAAATGATCTGCTGTTTTTACAATATCTTTTAAAACGATACTAATCACAGAAACACTGGATTTTCATGACTAAAGTAACATTCAATAATTATTTAATTTTCGTTCTGAGACGCTGAACAACTACACTACCCATGAGTATTAGCTGTTGTAGCTACAAATTCAAAACACTTGAATTTCTTGACAAAACAGTTTCTGAAAATGTTTATAAAAGATTATAAAAGTTAATTAGCAGATTGATGGTGCGTAAATAATAATTTTTAATAAATAATCACTTTTGTTGTTGTCCTAATTGAGAGTTAACATCGACGCAGAATGTTTTATGTTCACAGGTTTTTACCTTTGACATTTTATCGAAGAACCAGATATTATCTAAATCAACTGCTCATGTTTTTGTCACAAAAATGTTTCGCAGATTAATCAGATAATGAAAATAGTCATTAGCTGTGGGGAGTAAATATATTCGTACATTCTTCAAGGCGCCATATCAAGACTTGAGGTTTACCGGCCTTTTCTGCTCACGTTGATGGATGAATGGAATTGCTTGTGCGCGTGTGTGCGTGTGTGTGCAGGGTGACTCACACCAGCACTGTCCATTGTTAGAGCCAGACAAAAGGCGGCTGCGGCTCAGCTGGCCTTGATGACGAACTAAAAGACGAAGAGGACGCTCACACACCAAAACTCTCTCTCACAAACTTAGACACACACGAGTGCCGGCAGATCCAACGCTAAAGTATCTCCTCACGCTCGTGTGTGTTATTCTTCAGTTCTCTTGTCGGCTCACATTTTGCTGTCAGCCTCGTCTGTTTGTTTTTGTTCGCACAGTGTGTGGGTCTTCCTGTGTTTGATAAGCTCCAAACAGAGGAGAGCACTGCAGCATCTCCTCTGTTTGGTCCGAAGGGTACGGAGACCAGATACTGCGGAAAAGTGGAGTTAAAACATACAGATGCATCCCCAGATGTTTTCGTGCAGTACGCTCTGCTGTGGGAGAAATCAATAACTGTGGGCTATGAAGTGGTTTTAGCTTGCTCTCTTGACCTGTACATCTCAGCGGCAGCTACTGCACTCTACTTTATTCTGCTCCCCCAAAAAACAGCTTCTCTTAACTATATTTGGATCCAGACATTTCAGTTTTATCAGATACAGATTCTGGAGCCCAGTGTAGATCTCTGAATGACATTTATTAATCATACTTTATACTATAATCATTTCATTTCTGAAGCAGCTAAAATGTCCTGTTCTGTCTACAGTATATTCCTTTACTTTTTGCCATGTTCTCTCTAAAAATGGGCTTTTCGAGTAAAACATGATCTCAACCACAGCGGAAACTGAAAAGCTGTATTCTTGCTTCCTGGACTGGCAGCGGAGGAAATGATGTCACGACCTGTTGATTTCCTGAATGAACTGTTTGAATGGGCCTTTTCACAGAGGAGCTGCTGACTCGGTAAATCAACCAGTTTATTGGTTTTTGTGTCTGTGAATGGAAAATATACCCATCAATTCACATGGACCATCAGATATAGAGTGGATTTACTGAGCCAAAATAGAAAATCAATCTCAGTCACGTCCATTAAATAATATCATAAACCAGTATAAGGAACATGTCATTAGCCAGTAAACTTTCAAAAACACCTACAATAATACTGCGATCAATGACAACAGGAAGAAGAATATATATATATATATATATATGTATCTGCAACAGGTTGGATTCATTCTTCTGCACGAGCATTTTGTTTTAATTTGTTATACAAACAGAACAAAGAATCAGCTCTACAGCATTTCCCACAGCCCGAGCCTGAATTTCTTTCCCATGTGTGAAGCTGAGTTGATTCAGGGCAGCCGTGAAATTTGGGCAAAACGATAAAAAAATAAAAAGAATGGCTCTGTTCTTTCTTTATACTAAAGAGCTGTTCATGAGAATCTGATCGTTCACGAACAAAAAGTCTGTGTGCAAAGATCTGCAAATGTACGACCTGCAGCCACAGACCTGGGCCCTCATGTTCGAAAAACTAGTTTTAAAAGTTGTTCAGTCAATTTTTTTATCAACTGCGAAGCATTTGGAGAATCTGGTCTTTTCTCCACTTCACCTTGAGGAGGCCCTAAATGATTTATGTCACCTCGTGGGATTATTATAATTCACTGTATTCAAGGCCGAGTCGAAAAACTATCTTACACCTTCAGCTTGTATGAAATTTGGCTGCTCTGCTTTAAACACCAGAAGACAAGAACACGTCAGCTCTGTTTCAGCCTCTCTGTACTGGTTTTTATGAGTCCCTTATAGAACTGAGATTTTACAGATGATCTTTTAAAGCACTTCATGGTTTATATTCATTATGCGTTTATGCATTATGGTGCGTTAATGTTCACATACAAGCCTGAGTGCAGCCTCAGATTCTCAGGCGGGAATCTTCCCCCTATTCCTGAATCCTGGATCAATACTGAAGAAGACTGGGCTTCAGCTCTGGAGCTCCCTCTAAATCACTTTGCAAACATCATACATTTTTATAATTCAATTATTATTGTTGCTATTATTTAACATTAAAAACAATCGATATTCTCTGCGAAATTGGTTTAAAGTTCTATCTCACAATGTTGAATTGTGGATTCATCTGTATCTGAATCCATGCCAGAAAGGTTCTTTCTTGGCCCGTGTCCCATGCTTCCCCCATCAAACCATCCAACCATCAAACCATCCAACCATCAAACAAACAAACAAACAGGTGAAAACAATCTCTTTGGCAGAGGTGTCAGACTGTAAAATGAAAGTCAGTGCAAACCTCCACCAACGCCCAACAGTCCCCTTAAATTCTGCTGTAAATCCGTAATGTGCATTTGGATGTAAATATTGAAGCTAAATATCAACTGTTGTTTCTGAACTGAATTTCAATGATCTTAGCTTTACATTGGTTGTTTAGTTTCAGGTTTCTAGCTCCGTTTGTTACATACAGCAGCTTAAAAAAAAAACTTCTCCCTCTGAAACCCAGTTTAACTTCACTAGATCTGGATTTTTATTTGGATCTGCACCAAATTGCACACACTCAGGAAATATCAAACTAACTCTAATAAATATTACTCCCCTAAATGTGCCTGATCTTGATTTTCATCAAATCATTCAGATCAATGCATTTTTCCCTGTCTCGCAATGTTACAGATTGCCTTTGTCCGGATGCAAAGCAAAATTGAATGTGTTCTTTCTTGGCCCTCGTCCCATCCTTCCACCAAGTTTCGTTTGTCAGCACTTTAATCCTGCTGACAAACAAACAATCCAACCAAACCACAAACACAGAGAGAGAGGGATTAATGCACGACGTCCTTGGCACATAAAAGGACTCGATAAGATGCAGATTCTGAGATAATTATGTCGTACAAACACAACTGCTCCACAACAACCTGTTAAATCCTCCATGATATAAACAACAAACATTATATCAGCTATAGTAAATATCTGAGTAAAGCAACATACATTTCAGCTCAGCAATTACAACAGTGTTTGTGCTGCAGTGGTGTGAATGGCCCAGTCTCATGCAGGCCAGTGACAGGTCTGAAAACAGCTCACTTTCAGGTTAGGAAGCATGACGTCTTTGTTGTTCAGCACCATA